TCCCTGACAAAGCTATTTAAGAAATTGTCTAGCAAATTCTTGGTACCTTGGCTATACACAGACATGTGTAATGAGATCATCAGCACATTTCCATGGTATCTCGGATGGTCTTTTGCTCCCTCTTGTTTGGAGAGCCCTGAGAAAACCTGACAGGGAAAGAGGTTTTGCAGGGACTTGAGTTCATAGAGCTACTGCCCTCAGGCCACCGGGAGCCGAAAAACCTTTGACAACCCTACAGATTCATGGAGGAACTTCTGCTGCTGGCCCTCGGAATCAATTCCTGAACATCATGTCCAGGCAGAATCAAACCTCTCACAAACAACTCAGATGTGGGTTGGTAAATGATAGGATAGAAGAATTTCAAGTTACAAGTGATTTTTTCTAAAAGGCTTAACATTCTGAAACAAAGTAAATTTTCCTTTATTGAGAAGAAAGATCTTGAAGGCTATTTAGTCCTACTTCCTAATTAGTTAGGAATGACCTCTCTATCATTTGAATACCTCTAATGATGGAGAGCTCATTAACCTACATTATCGGGCAATATTAATACAATACTAAAATTGCAAGAGTATAATCAGATCAATTCCCCATCTCTTATTAAAGTGCTATGGTTTTATAAATACAACTTACCAAATATAACTTACCTTTTAATTTCAAGTGACTCAGAAAAAAATATAACAATATATATTGAGTAAAATCTTGGAAGTCAATAACTACTGGTGTTGATGCTATATTATATATAATATAGGTCTATTGCATTATGATTTTTCATTTATTTACTTAATTTTTACATATCTAATTTCACTACTTTTCAATTCAAGCTTACCCAATATGTATTTATTATGCTTGGCACAATCTTTTATAATATATATTTTCATGAAAGGTGACATGATATCCTAAGTTCTCCGAAAACCTCCAGGTTTATACCACATTATTATTATTATTATTATTATTATTATTATTATTCCTCACTTGAGGGCATGTTTATTGATTTTAGAAAAAGAGGAAGGGAGAGACAGAAGCAGAGAGTGAGCAACACTGATGTGAGAGAGAAGCACTCGCCAGGGCGCCTCCCACACGGGCCCCAGCCAGGAACCAAATGTGCACAGACCTCATTATTGTAGCAGCACTATTTTCACTCTCAAAAGGACCTTAGTTTAGGTGACAACTGGATGGTCGAGTGCCATACTTTAAGGTTTTAAAATACTGTATTTCATTTTTTAAAACTGTACTAAAAACCTTCACAAATCTAGACTGGAATCCCAACCCCCACCAACTTCTCTGCACTCTTCTCAATTAAAAAGCTGCCATTTTATTTTAAAATGATAAATCTCCTTAACTGTGGAATATTTTTAATAAAATGAATGGCTGCTCCAGGCTCAAGAACCACCACCACGGACAGGCTGGAGCCTGTGCTGTCCGCACGGATGGGGTGGCCCACTGCCAACAGGATGTCACTTCCATTAAGTTATCGAGAGCCAGGGAGACCTTTCTAAGTCAGGCACAGCATGCTGGCAAATGAGATGTGAATGTCCTCATGCCTGAGAAAGCATTCCCTTTACTTGACCAGATTTCTTTCATCTTTGGGTGTCTCCATTTCTCTGTCTCTACAATAATGCCCACTTCACAGGCCTAGTGTCGGATTAAAGGGATGCTGGCCATAGGGCCCTCTCAGCTACCAGGAACAAAGGCATTAAGTAATTGCAAAATGTTCGGTTCCGCTTCTCCAGCTTGGGAAAAAGGGGCTCCCACTGACTTGAAAGAGAGCATCATGCACAGACAAGGAGAAACCCACGGGAGAGCAGAGCCTATTACCTTCATTACCATTGCCCCGAAGTGCAGAGAGAGCAACAGAGAGGCTGAAGAACTACGGTCACGAAAAAACAAGAAAAGGACTAATCAATGGGCCACAAAGAAAAGCTGAAAAGATGAACATCTTGGTTTAATAATAATCTGTGAAGATTATTTGCCAGAAACTAGGGAACCACCTATATATTCTCTGGTCACTTGATCCAATAACACACCCGTGTATTCTTCACAAGGGACTGGGCCCTGGCTCTTACTCTACCCTTCTTTCCATCAGCCACTCCAATATAAATGCCGAATGGCAGTTCAATGGCCACTTTCAGAGTGGATTAAATTTAAAAGCTCCTATTTAGACAGTAAGGTACATTCAAACGATTAACCAAAAGATAATGAAATTGAAACTAGTGATACAGTTTTAGCATAAAATATTAAGACCTCCAAGAGAAAAGAATGAGTTCAGACAAGCAGAAACTATTGCTGCTATTGTTGCTTTGGTGAATTCACAGTCAAGTATATGGAAGACATTGTCCTTTACATCAATACATGCTACTAGAATCAAATGAGAAAAATGAATAGTAGGAGATGCCACTGCAAGCAGTATTTTCCCAGCAAAAGCTGTGTCTCAAGAGTTCTTCAGAGCACCCTGTGAATGCATAGAAATTCACAAATCAACTTGCCAAACTGCTTGGCTGGAAATCACACTTTTGCACATGGATCTAGCTGAAAGGCCCTTTGGAATCTACCTTTCAAGTCAGTGGGAGCCCCAGGGCTTCTTCAACCTGTCCCAAGAGTCAGGGGACATTGCTAAAAACAGCGTGAACTTCAGGATCAGCTAGACCTGGGCTACAATTCTAGCACCACTATCTCACTGGCTGAGTGACCTGGGATAAGCCATGTGACCTCTCTGGGATTACATAATCCTACCAGTCTTTCAAGGTGTGTGGAGGATTACATGGCCAAAATATGTCAAGAACTAAGCCTTATACTTAGTTTGACCTATCTCGTATTACTATAAACAACCCAGAATGAGAGAAACCCACCCCCAAAACCAACTGCTCCCTTACTCCACAGAGGCCAGGCAGATAAGTAATATAAATGCTTGAGTATATACGTGACCAAAATAGGGGCCTTAATTTAAGTATCTGGAAGAGCCAAGCTGCAATTCTAATAATGTAAAAAATTCTTAGATGTCAAAAGATATTCTAGGTTACAATCTGCAAGATTCTGCACTTGTACAAATTATGCACATGATTCACATCTTTTCAAACAACACCCCTCAGCCACTCACAGTGGGCATGGCCTGTCTTGGACTGTCTGCTGGGGAATGAGCCCTTGGCCCTGAATCTGTAAACTGTGGAAGCAAAGGGAAGGCTCCCAAAGCAGCCCATCGCCCTTCTCATTCTACAGGTAAAAGCACTGAGGCTTGGAGGGAAGTTGCTTCCCTGAGTCAAACAGTAAAGGCCTTGGGTTAGGATTTGAGGGGGAAGCCATTATAAACCAAGCCTGTGACAATAACAATAATAATAACAATCTCATCATAGAGCTTTATTCACAGTTATTGCCAATTCTTTGGCCAAACGTGTCATTGGCCTGCCTGGTACCTGGACCACCCTCCAGGAACCAAGTTCTCTTCCAATATGGCAACAACAGAAGGAAGCCTGCTGACAGAGGTCAAGTCTCATTTTCCATTTCTCAGTATGACAAGAAACCTAGTTTCTAACACGCATCTCAGGACTGAAAAATCTAAAAGAAACAGTCATCAAAAGAACCCTTTGAATATTGATGCAGCATTTGCTGTCCCCCGGTGACAGACACTTGCCAGGCCTACAACTCAGGTAGCAGGGCGTCATCTGCACATCACTCCTCAGAGGGGAGTTAACACATCAAATATGTGGCGCACATTTTTAGAGTGTCCATTATGCTTTTTCTGCAAAATCCAATTCTCCATCGACATTTCCAAGCATAATAATTCCTAACCACTGACCGGAATATTTTAGGAGGTGAGAGCCCGTACAGAGCAAGACTCACAAACACCGAGGCAGAGTGAGCACCCTGCTTCCTAACTCTTCATTTGTGCACCACCAAGGCTTACTCACTCTGGTTCCATCTCAGGGATTCCGGAAACATTTTATCCTGAACATGCTAATTGAGGGACAGATCATCTGAGGCTAATTTCCAGCACAAAGAAACTTCAATGCTTAAAGCAGCTATACAACAAAAGCCTGTGCAGGAAACTACCATCAGGAGCAGGGCAGGAGGAAGCCAGAGGAGGGGTGACGTCAGGGGACTTGCAGGCTCTTAGGATGGTAGAGATCACAGAGCCTGTCCAAGGGCTGAGGGGAAGGAAGCAGAAGAAACTAAAAGCTGAAAGTCCAGAGGACAGAGGACAGGGATGGACATCCCTGAGAGGGTCATGAGAGGTGGGTCCCACAACGTGGTTGGAGAGATGAAGGGAGGAGAAGGAGAAAAGGGCAGAAAGGGGATACATGGAAGGAAAGGGAAGAAGAAGGAGAGGGAGGAAGGGATGAAGTGCCAGGTGTAGAGACATTTTGAAGGACAAGGACACTGGGGTGACATTAAGACACCACGAATCGGAAAGGACCTCCCCACCAAAAGGTTTGGACTCCAACAGAGAAGAACTGCTCAGCCACGTAATTGCACATGGTAAATACACACTCAGGGGTTAGATGTTATTCTTCTTAAAACATTTTAATTGCTGTTTTCTCCTAAGGAGTATGCTCAATTCATAATGGAGGAACAGAGGTCATTCAACTAGATTGATTTTTGTGGAATAACAACTCAAAATGACTTGAATCCCACCCACCATTCAACAAAGTTATATATCTACGTGGGAGGGAAAAAAATCCCTCCTAAGAAAGAAAAACCCAAACCCCAAATTATCAGGTTAATTCACAGGGTGGACATAAGAAATAGCAAATACATAGTTTGATATTTGGTCTGCAAGGTGAGGGGAAGAAAACATATTAAATTCTACAGAATAAGCTTTTGTGATCCCAGAAATACTAGGAACTCGGTAGTTGGGTTTTTCTGGGGGGGGGGGGGTTGGCTCCGATGATTTGTAAATATCTAGAAAAGCCCAGATTTTGAAGCCCTGAGGACACTTGCTACAACTCAGAAATTTGGCACTAGTCTGTGCGCATGATTTGGGTTTTCTTTCGGAGTTGATGTCTTACCAAATACAGCCATCTGTGTTCCCTCTGGGAAAGGCTCGACTGTTCTGTTGCCATTGACATGATGTTTGGCTATAAAAATAAAAGAGAGAGAGAGAGAAAGAGATGTAAGTTAAGTGTAAAGTTCTACACACAGACTAACACATGTCATTAAATGTGTCAAAGAGCCTATTTCTCATCTTTAGTTAGAAATGGCACCTCTGAAGAGAGTTTCAATTAGTTTGTTTTTAATCTGTGACAGAAGAGCCCAGAGACGGGCTACGGGCATGTCACTTCGGGCATGTCACTTTACGAATGAGTGTGTTGCGGTGGGGGCCGAGCCAGCCCAGCCCCAAAGCTCCGGACTCCTGGCCCGAGGGTTCCCACTGTGCCAGGCCATTGTCCCCTGCAGAACAGGGGAAGCTCCAGGTTCCAGGGTGAACTGGGGTGGCTTCCCCTGAAGACTCCTGATGATCAGAACACTGACCCAATCAGTAAAGTGAGTCGTAAAGACAGCAGGGTCACATTGGGATCCATTTTTCAAGTACACATCATTTCACAGCAATACAAGTACTGTTGCCAGGAGCCAAAGACACTCACCTTCTTATAGAACAGACAGATGCTCTAGTGCTTGTTACTACTCTTCATCCACCCGGTCCCCTCCACCAATCATCTGTGCCACCTTAGTGCATGGCAAGGGCTTAGAAACGCAAAGGGACCAGGCTCTGGTTTCCCAGCATTAATTTGTTCTCATAACTCCCAAACTGCAACCAGATAGGGAATATCTGAATATATCCATCTATGAGTATTTGGATAACATCCTCAGCAACTTTTGAATACGGCCATTTATGTTGAAAATGCACAAGACAAGAATGGCTGAAATGCTTTGACACTGCGTCATGTAAGCACACATACTTTCATGTCATGGGCCATTCGCTGAACTCTGGCAAAGGACTCAGCACTCACGCTAGGCTCTGGTAGGTCTAAGGGGAAGAGTGTGACATTTTTCCTGCCCTCTAGGAGGATAAAAACTTCAAAAGCCAACTGTACCAGAAAACTTAAAATTTTGTGCTAAGTCCTGGAATGGGCAGTAAAGGTACTGACTGTAAAAGCTCACAGCAGAGGGACAGCAGTTGGGATGTCGGAGCCAGCAACCTAGACGAACTGCAGCTAGTATAGAGTGCTGAAGGAGAGGCAGAGTTTACAAAGGCTGAGGATGAGGAAGCACCTTGAGTGACAGCCAAGAGTAGACGTGACCAAGGCATCATCACCCTGGGCCAGAACAGAGTCTAGTCTGGGTGTACTTGAGGTGATAAGCTGAAAAGCAATGGCAATGACAGATGAGCAGGCATGAACCAGGGCATGGAAGGTCTTGAGAACCCCATCCAAATCCAGGGGAGCCCCAGACAGCCTCGGCAATAGCACTGCAGTGTTTTAGAACATGAAGGCTTCCGAAGCTCAGTCCAATTTACACTATCCCTTTCGTTCAGTGGCTTCCACTGGTCCTCAGATATTTGCGGCACTATCCTGAGAAAACACCTGGGACGAGGAAAGGAGCCAGCCCAGGTCAATGAGAGAGCAAGGCTTACAGTCATCTTTAAGCATAACTGACACCATTGGCAAATGCGAGAGGAAAGGTTGCAGGTGGCATGGGACCTTGTCAAGCACTCACTCATACGATTAGGGCCAATGGTTACTGAATCCAAGGAAACATGAGGATTCCCCATGTGGAGGTCACAGTACTTGGTTCTGTTCTATGGTGAGCCCTCCACAGCCCTGCCCATGGCTTTAAAACATCTTGCTTTAAACGTATTGGGAGTTATAAGCCTTTCAAACATTTTGAACCACTAAACGACCTAAAAAAATGCAAAAGGGGAAAAAAAGGTGACATGCCTGACAACATTTATCAAAGTATTATCATTTCTAATAATGAAATCTTAAAATAAACTAAATATCCAAAAATAGAGGAGGTGCTCAGAAAGGTATAATCCAGGATTTATGAAAAGCACGGACTACATGCAGCATATTTGAAACACAGGGCTTGAGAGACATACAGGAGCGTGGGGTGGAGCATTCGGGACAACGGCAAGAGAAAACCATCCTCTTGCACATTGGATGTAGATTACAATGGCAACTAATTAAGATATGAATGCTTATGGTAAAAGACTGTCATAGAAACATGAAAAATGATAATAACTAGGGAAATTATGCAAGATGTTTGCCTTTATTAACTTCCTTGGTCATTGTTAGATCCTTATTTTCTACATGAAAATATGTTTGCTTGGACTATTAAAAAATCAATAAATTACAGATTTGAAAAAATTCTTCCCCAGGACTCGGTTTCCCAGGACAGTCCACCAAGCCTTCTTTATAACTAGTGCACATTTACAGTAAAAATGTAGCCTGTTTGACATCTCCTCCGAGTCAGCTCAAAAGCACCTCCAACACATAATGACCGTCCACTTTGAACTTGACCCTCCTGCAGCACCCTCACCTCTAGGAACGGGACTGCTATCCTCCTCCCTGTTCTCTCCTCCTCAACACCCACATCAAACCTGCCACCCAACTTAGGTAATGTTGCCTTGCAGACATCTTTAGAATCCTTCCACTTTCTCTCTCCATCACCAACACCACTCCAGTCCCAACTGCTATGGCCCCTTTGCCTGGACTCCTCCAAGTGTCTCTATACCCCCCTCTAATTCATTCTTCCCAACGCAGTCACATTACCTTTCAAAAGGAAAGAATAGTTCAGAGTATATGACACAAACTCCCACACTGCTCCCTACCATGGCTTCTCACTACGCTGAGGCTAAGTCAACATTCTAATACAGTCTTCAAGAAACCACGTGCTCTGGCCACCCCTCGTCCTCCATTTCCTCTATGTTAGCCATCTGCCCCCTCGGGACCAGCGACTCATTCTGCATCGCTCACCAGAGCCGCACCTCACCCTTCATCACTGTCTGGACCGGTGGACTGTGTGCTCAGGGAGGGCTGGGCTCGAGCCTCTTTTGGCTCACCAGACCCACAATCCTAGCACAGCATGGGACACAGCATAGGTACCCAACACACAGTTGTTAATTAGTAAAGGAAGACATAAACAGTTCTAAAAAGTCTTTCTTTAGCCATTATGATAGATATGTCATTTGATATACTAAATATGTATCTCTCCTCATATGTACGTGTGTCCCTCATACAAAAGGGGTGATTAGAAAGAGCCACCCAGAAATGGTTTCCCCAGCCACGTGGCCTGGAGACAAAGGCACTCCTCTGTTCCACTCCTTACATGTCCAACCCCCTTCCCTTCCCATTCACCTAGTCTCACCTGAGAAGGCAGAGGTGCTGGAGGACATGCAAAGACTAGAAATGCTACTTCAACTGGAGAGGAAGATAGAATTCGAATGCAACTCTCTCCTCACTGCTAAGGGTAGCCTGGACCTTGTCTTGTCTTTTATTCTAGAGCCTGGGGCCCAAAAATAACAGGTGTCTGTGAACTCAATTTTATATTTTCTTCTGAATTGCAGCTGAGTCTTACCTCAGCCCCTAGAGAGCAAAGACACAGCATCAGCCAACAAAAAAAACAGTGCAGTTTCAGCAGTTAAGGACATGGGCTCTGGAATAAGACTAATTGAGTTGGAATCTCAGCTCTCCTATTTCCTAGCTCAGTCATTTAACCTCTCAGTGCCTCGGTTTCCTCGTGTGTAAGTTTCCTCATTTGTAACAACCGTACCAGTTGCTTTGAGAATTAAATGAGTTAACATACCGAAAGCACGTAGAACAGTGCTTGGCACAGAGTAAACACTACTTAACTGTTAGACTAGCAGTGTTTTCATGTGAACTTTATTTTTCACAAGATCTTGATCAGGAATGACAAACACATGGCACTTACTTACCTTTCCTCCACTTCCATGCCCCTGACAGTCATCACTAATCAATCATGGCATGCTTTCTCTCTCCACTTAGAATCTCTCAGTATTTAAAAAGCAGTGTGTATACTTAAATCGTTTTGTCATTCCTGGTCTAAATGAATAAAGCAGAAAGATAGTACGAAGAGAGAAGCCATTTTCTTTCTCAATGCTACATAATAAATTGTATTAAGAAGACAGACCCATTGAAATCTCCAAAACTCTATACACAGCTTTAGGGGTAAAAGAATGGAGGGAAATCTGAGTACTACTTTCTGCCCCACAAGGAGGGAATCATGAGTTCCTGAAAACTAAACAATGGCAGTTCTATTCCGGGAAACCAAGGCTGAACTTCTAAGGGCATTTCCCATTGAAACTCTGCGGAAGCCAGTACCTGGGAGCCAAAGAACCAGCGGTCCTTTAAATACATTATATACAGGTCAAGTAAGATTTGGGGGTAGGTAGGGGAAGACTAACCTGGGAACCTAACAAGCATTTGTAAGTTTTTTTTCAAAACTGATTACACATTTCACCACAGAAACAATCAAACCAACTAAATAAAAAAGCCACTCGTTGATTGGATACTAACTATTGATTACCAGCAGGGCATGAAATGGAGACAGGAGGGCTCTCTGACAGGGACATCTGTCGCCTGGCCACAGCAGGGTGGATGTCTCCAATCTAGCTGGTTGGACAGATGTCCCTGCCCCTGCTCCGTGGGGACACGTTCCAAGGCCACATGCTACAGGAGGACAACCTCTGATGATGGCCAGACGTGTCCTCCGTCAAGGGTATGTGAGGACAAGGAATAGATTTTCATTTATCTTGAAAACCCAGTGCTTGAGGTATAGCAAGGTTAATTAGAGCAAGTTTGGGTCAAAGTCAACTACTAGAGAGATTTTGAAGGGGATTTGGGGGTCATGTTCAGAAGCTTTAGATGCTGATACTGACACTGTTCTTTCTTTTTGCTTTGTTTTATGAATATATAATTCACTTCAAACTTTATGACTGTTTTCTTCCTTAAAAAATATAATATAACTGATAATGAACCTATAATAATGCAAATTCAGACATAAACCAACCAGTGAATAGCTCCATGTCCTGTACTCAAACTGAGAGAGCTAAAATTCGTATCTCCCAGGTGGGAGGTAGATCAGGTAGGTATATGGCAGGGAAGTAGGAGACTGAAGG